AATAGATTTAGATAAAATACTGCATGTTTGATTTTATTTCAGCCTGCTATAGGAAAAACACAGCAACAAAGTGAGAGATATAATGTCAGCATATACAGTCACACCACCTCCTGGAAGAGCCACAGCGATGTTTTCGGTTGGAGGTATGTATGACTTACTGTCACCTCTGTTGACGGATTCTTTTATTATCAGCTATGAGCAAGATTTATTATTGCTATAATAGTTTGGCCTTGAGTTGCAGTACCCTCAAACCAATACAATATGACATTGACAATGCTGCTGTTCTCTTCTGGTTTTTGCTAGAATCTCAAATCGTAGATGCAAATGAAGAAATTGATTTCGATGGAATTATTCCTTTACCTTCACCTCCACCCAGGTAAGTAACACCTAAGACGGGATTTGAGTCTTGAAATTCAGTTTAAGTACAAATAATACAAGAGTATTTGAAACAGGTAATTGTAATACATGTTCAGTTATGGAATCTGCATTATTGGGTTATGTTAGTTTCAAAGCATATTGTCACCTGTATGAGGGCTTTGGATTTTGTAAAGTGTTATATGTCATATACCAAATGTAACAGTCAGAAACCTCTTGCCGTAAATTTGCATAGATTTGCATAGATTCTTATGAGATTAGATAAGTTACATCATCTTAGGGTGTCAACAAGCCATTGAATAGCACTCAGAATTTAAAGATGAGAAAATCTTAATTTGATATGATGCATTTCTCATTTGGATTTGTCTGTGATACACACTAGGGCTTTTGTTTCTGGTATTTTATATTCTTCTGTAAATGTTCAAATATATCAGGCCACAAACTTTTTCTTTGTCGTGCACACTGTGAGCTTGTTTTGAAGATAGTCATTTTGTATGCATTGAAACCATACTACAGTATTACTAAATCCATATCATTAGCATCTAAATACTTTTTAGCGCCGCTGTTGACTTTGTCGAGCGGATCTTATCATATGAGTGATTGTCCATCGTCCTCATCCGTATCAACTTTTTACTTTTTCGACTTCTTCTTGAAAACTACAAGTCTGATTGCTTTGATATTATATATGTAGGTACCATAGGTAGACCTCTCTCAGATTTGTTCATTTCGTGATGATATCTTCACTTATCTAATTTTTATGAATATTTTTGATAAAAAGTTATATTTTCAAATTCTTGTTGAAAACAGTCTGATTACTTTGATACTATAAATATTCTTCATTTTCTAATGATATCTTCAGTTCTTTAATTGAAATGTGCATTGCTAACAGCGGAGGTATCTCATCTGACAGGCTGCTTGTTCAAAATGCTTATTATTCCTAATAATAAATTTTCCCAATCCAATCCAGTCACTTATTGTATGTAGCCGATGACTGAGAAAACAATTAAAAAACATTCTTGCTTCTAACCTGTGTCAGTTTTTTCATTTGTATTATCTGCTTTTTATCGTTTCCTAATTATGGTATTATTTTTATATTTTTCAGGATAAGAGGCGACTGCTTTGATGAGAGGCCGCAAAGTAGTCATGTAATTGTTCTTCCATCGGCGTAATTGGACATTTTATTTCTTTGTAAATACAATAAATTTGTATATATTATTTTAATTTTGTGCCAAAAGCTTACATGTTCAGACATTGTTTGTCTTAATATTTAATTATTAAATATTTGGACTTGACTCGTGATGTGCCAAAACTGACTAAAAGCAGTGGTGTTTATTTTTTACATATTTTATGATACATGTACATAGCATTTGCCAAATATGAGAGTGCCTGATGAAATGAATGCCTTTTCATCCGTCCATAAATTACTGCTAACATTTTGTTTGAAATATTCAACAATAACCTTCCATGGTTTCATTCTACTACATAAAGTGCTGAGCCATTGTTGCAAGAGTGCAGAGTATCTGGGCTATTAGCGAAAGATGAACAAGAAATAATTACATTTTTTTTTTAAATTGCTGATTATGTAACATTATCCTGAGTTTTTTATATTGATAGTAAAAATATATTGTGAGCGATATATTTATTGTGTAATTTTAATGTACATTTTCTTAACCAAGCCAAGTGACAGACTAAAGACAACTATTTCGATTTTCATACAATGAAAGGTCTTTTATAAATTTGTGGCATTATACACCATCTTGTTCATGTTATCAATAGCTCTAACTGAAATTGCTCTGTCTTGTCATTTTCAGGATGACAGTCCTAGTACATGTTGATCAAATACTTACAAAGTTTGATCCAAAAATTGTACATTTGAAGGGAATATGCATTTTTACAGAAACTAGTTTTTGATCTTTAAGAAAATTGAAAATATCATCGTGCAACACTTTTCTACTTGCTAATAAGACACAAATTACACGATCTAAAATATTGTCTCATAGACCTTTTTGTGCACTTTTTTTGGGTGTGGCGGCCATTATACAACAGACCTGTCTGGAATTGATTTTTTCAAGTTCAACAGACTCTATCTCCAAAACTAAGAGAAACATAATTCTGAGACCCACTTAATAGTAAAAAAATCTTCTAAGCAAATATTAGCGCAAAAAGTGAAATATATTGCCGTAGTTACATGCTTAGCAACTGGCAGAGGATGCCCTGATGAAAATTATACTATTTCTGTTTTTCCCCTTATGCTATCTTAAAGCAAGTCATTGTACAACTATGAAAAGAGGTAATATTTCTTGTTTTCATCCTGACCTTGTTGATTTATGGGCTTCTTTATAGACCAATAAGCCATCAACATCAATTCAATTATTTCTTTGATTTCAGTTTAGTACATTTACCAGTCAATTTAAAATCTAGTAAAGCCATTTATGGTTTTGGTAGCATTGGTAACAGGCAGATCACTGATGCATTTTACTGTAGAATACTATAATTTGTTAGGATCGTAACTTCTTGTAGTGAGAACCAATGTGACTGGCCTGCCAACAGGGTGCTAAGGGTTTCGTAGTAAAAGTTGCCTCCTTAACTAAGAGTTACAGTTGTCAAACCATGATACACATATTGGTATGTGATTTTTATTAACAATACTCCCTTTTTTATTTGTGTTTTTGCCAAACATTACAAGTCTACTCAGGATGTTTTTAGTTTTGTACAAAGATTGTAGAAGCAGATGTGAATAAATTTACATATGACAATTATGCATTCTGTTTCATTTAATCTATTGCCAATTGTATTCTGTTTTGTTTTTTGCTTTATTTACAAGTTTTAAAAGTGAGCCAAAGTATATCATTACTGAATAAATAAGAGCACCTTTTTCCTGAATTTTGATACATCAATCCCGCTTACAGATTACATTTGAATGACTGATGTCCCAACTTCACCTTAATGAGAGGGGGTAACTTGGTAGAATGTAGAAGCTTTAAACTATAGATCACGAGTTTTGCCATCTAGCAATAAAGTAATAAGCATGTACAAGAGTTATGAAACATCTCCTAATACAATCATAAAACATCTTTCATGTTACATATCTGATTAGGCATCAGTAGATTTACCGGTACTACAACTATTTCCCATATTTCAACACTAGAGACGCAATCAGCTGAACTTGCATCGCTAAACATACATGGACTACATATTTGGGATAATTGACGTCATCAGCTAAAATATCTTGAGTAACTAAGTTGCATGACAAAGCATGTACTAGAATTGTAACAAATCCCAAGGAATCGTGAATATAACACATCATTGTGATAGCGGGAAATCAATGAATACAATTACAATGCACTTTTCCTATCCTCGGGGGCGGAGCTACGTCACGGACGTTCTACGTTGCTAAGACGCGCACCACTGTACCACGTATTTCTATGGGCTTTGTGCGCGCTGCTGTGGAACGACGGTGGAGCCGGTGAAAACTCGAGAAAACAACACAAACTCAACTTAAAAGTAATCCTGAACAACCAGATTCATATATGTTACACACGTAGGGCTAATCTTGTTACACTGTTCAGAGGACTCTCAACAACCATCGCAAAGTACCGTTTTCTGCGAGTTTTTGGTATTTGTTTTCACCGCGAGGGTTGCCAGGCGGTAGAAAATGCCCGGATGTCCGCCCCCGAGGATTCCAATACTCGAGAGCGTTATTAGCAAAAAATTCTAAGCCTAGTTATATCACTAAACGTTTTTGTTTACTTTACACAGTATCATAAACATGCATTCTGTTCTACCTGTCTATGATACTAGTAATGGGAAACAGTTGACTTACCGGGTAATATTGCAATACCACTTTTTTTAACACTAGAGGGCGTCATCAGCTAAAAATCCTGAGAAAATGAGGTACATCACTAATACTAGATTCATGATAAATCTCAGATTAAAAATACAACACATGCTACATATTTGTGATGTTGATCAACAGTTGATTTAATATTACAATGCCACTTTTTATATTCCAATGATAATGATCAACAATTGCAACACTAAACTATTATACTAGAATTTAAACAAATGTTGCAGTATTATGAATTTAACACAGTTCGTGCTGCATATTTGATAACAGGCCACACTCGATTAAATATTCAGGATTTCAGCTGATTCTGCCATCTTGCGTTGAAAAATATAAAAAAGTGGTATTGTGGCATGGAATGTTGGTGACGCACGAAACACGTTGTATTTACCATTATGCTTGGCACGTGACGTTGCTGCGTTCCACAGTAGCGGGAACGGTGAAGTAAAAAATAAATAAAGATATTACACAATATATAGACGGCAAAAAACATTTTTAATGTTGTTGTTTGACATTAGATGTTGTTGAACAATTATTATTATGATTAATCGTAAACTAAAATAATTGTTTCCCAGAACACAAACAAATATAGTATTTTTCTACGGAAATGAACTTGAACAAGAAAGCGCACGTGCACCAACTGTTATCGTATGCACCAGTACTATAATATAAGTTTTTCATTATTTTGCCAAACATATTTTATCATTATAAAGATTATAATACATGCGTCATCAAAAAATAATATTAAAAATTACACGTTCTCATCCATATTACATCGTTATTAGAACGACATGTTGAATCTTTCAGTCGAAGTACTCGCATCCTTAGTCGACGGGTATGATACGTTTTCGTCGCGGGCCTGGAAGTATCGACAAAGAAGTAGTTTCAACAGCTGGAACAAAAACATCGAGGGTAAGCAAAATTAATACAGTATTGGAGGTGTGAATAAATATCATTTGTACATACAACGCGTAATTGACACAGTATTTTTAGTTTCATTATACGAAATGTCGATTAAATCTTAAATTATAAATTAATTTCCAATCACCTTTTCATACGTAAGTCTGGGTCTTACAAACGTTGTCTCCACCTGTAACAATAACTATATAATTAGTCTTCAGTACTCATTACACTATGCTTTCTTAATAAATACAAATTATATTTGTCTCCACTGTTCATGAAGTCACTGTACCTGGTGTTCAGAAATCTGTATCCGTTTGCCACATCGACACCTTGTCCAGTGATGAAGGAAAGCGAACCATGGCCAGGCGACGATATTATAGGGAGGACACAGATTCCATCTGACTCCACTATCAATATAATGCATCCAATGACGCGTGCGCACAAACTTCCATTCAGTGTCGATTCCCTCCTAAGAGATAGATAATTAATGTTAAATATACAGTGTACAAATATAATATGAACAATTTACTATCGTGCGTTGTACAGTGGTTTCAGAAAAGCTGTTTGAAAAAAACACGATTTATAAACATAAAACAATTTTTAAATTTGGAAACTGAACTTGACCAATCAGATCAGAACGATCGCTGCGACGTCACCGCGGATGAATAATAGTACACGCCCCTGAAACGTACGACCCAATCTGTGCGCGTGCAGCAGGAGTCAATCAATCCGATTATAATCTTGAATATAATAATTCTGTCTTGGCTATGTTTACCTGAACTCTCGAGTACGTGTCAGACATCATGGCAATGAGTAAGTTTAAAAAGATTAGAATAACCGTGACACAGTAAGTCGAGTACATGACTATGCCTGAATGCTCGAGAGGCAAAAGTTCATCGTACGTGAGCGGGGAGTGGCCGTTCAATGAACCATTCGTGGTTGATGACGTATTTGGAGAGTAAGAGTCAGTGATGGACAGATACGCGACGTCGTGTACTCCGAATAGTGCCCAGAATAGTTTCGCTATCATATCTTTAAATCTGCAAGTAAAAAAGATAATTGCAAAGAAATCACTTTTGTGCGTTGTGTGTAATTTATTCTCGGATTCTTACGTCACCTGCACGAACATTCGTCCCGCCACAATGCTTTGCTGGAACATTCACCCTGAAAAATCAAGATGCACGCGTTATACAAAGATAAATGAATTTGTACAAAATATCTGGACCATGAAAAGGGTAATCATATTATTTTTCTTGAAACAATCCATGTGTAGGAGGTTATTGGAATGAAATCTGAATCCATCTTTTGGGACTATTGTGATCATTTACCAGAAGAACTTTTCCGCTACGGGACTGCGCAACCTTTAATGAAATGTATATCGTTCAGCTTACCCTTTATAGGCCACATGTCCACCAGGTAAGTTATCATATAATAGAAACATGCCAAAGGCAAAAGAGGTTGCCATAAGAAAGAATACACTGAAGAAACGTATAACATCGGGAACCATCTTCTGGAAGGAGAGCAGCATCTTCCCTAGAAAGCAGTTGTTCTCCAGTATGCGCATTCCTTGCATGACACCTAAGGTAATGCTAAAGCACGCAAGTGGGCGGATACTGGGTGTTGACAAGTCACGCACAACAATGATGTCCACGCCGACCATGATGTAAAATGCGAGGAGCATAAAGAGCCAAATTAGGTAGGTGAGTCTCCATACACCGTACAGTTTCAGACCACGATATCTGATTACATTATATTCTTTCAAAAAGGAACCTACCACCCACAGAAAGTGGTATGTCATCGGCAACGTAGTGGTAATTAAATGCTCTAAGTCAATAACTTGAAAGGCCCAATTAATTTTTGTGCCTGAGTGAAGTAAAGTCATACTGTTTTGGATGTGGATAACAAGGAAAAGGAGAAAAGAGAAGACTTCCATCATGAAAGATGTTCTTGGGAGAAAGACGTATTCAGCAATGCTGCTATATGGCCACACGATGGCGATCATTGCAAGGAAAGGTTGGAGAAATCCGAATATAAGTATCTCCATGAGTAATCTTACAACAGACCAACCAAAGCCAAATTTCCGACTCCAATGCGGCTGTCCTTTCATCCATTCATTTGATATGGCCTCTTGGCATTTATATTCAGATACGAACTGTAAAGGACAATAAATAAGATACACCGTTAATGTATGCGAAAAGAAGGCAAATATAGCAATAGTAATGTTGAGGCGAACTTTACTTTAAAAATATTAAGAGAAATTGAAAGCACTAAATTGGTAGCGGTGAACGTGGATAACAACTTAATTCAGAAATTACTTATTATTGAGGTTAAAAAAACAAATTCATAGATTGTCTGGTACATTCCATAAGTTTATTGGGTCACAAGAAATATTAGTGAAATGATTAAATCTTATACATATAAATCATATGAAGCTGATTTGTCAGAAAAATGAGCTAAAACAAAAAGTACCAAAAAGCCAATTCCCTCATATATATGTACTAGTATTGACAATGTGCTTTCCATTAACAGTGACTGCCTTAAATTCCAATCATTTATTCAGTTGAATTGAAATTAAAGGGCGGCAGTCGTCGTGCCGCGTCTTGTTCGATATGGGACTTATAGTGACGTATACAACGCGCGTAAAATACATTGTATATTTACATGAAATTCGAACACGCGCTGCGCGACGACCATCGCGCTTTAAGAAGACTGCAGATTTTGTTCCCTCTGCTTCAAATTTAGATGTGTGCCTTGATTTGACTGACCAGACTATATGGCGACAAAAGAGACGTTTTTAATTATTGTACTGTCATCTAATTATCCACATCTGTGCAACAATATCCAACTTTTTCCTATGGGATATATATATAGATTATTTAATAAGCCATGGCCTGTAATACATATGCATACTTTTTTATACAGACATTGTCTTCTTTCGTAGAAAACAACCATCCTTGACATTCTAAATGTTTTTTGGCAGAATGATTAGTATGTAGTTGAATACAATGAAAGATTATCTCAGATGGCATCAATGTTATTTGGCTGAAGTAGACATCAAGTTTCATACAGAATATTAATATGGCAGGAGCCACGTGTAGAACAGTGCTCACTCTTTGTGAAACACATGAAATCACTTTTTGTATACAGTGAGTACATATATATTTTTCCAAATTATTTGACTATGTAGTTTAGTGTAGTGTTTTAGTGTAGTGTTTATTGTAGTGTTTAGTGTAGTGTTTAGTGTAGTGTCAGTTGTTATGTTCTTGCCGATCGTCATTTGTTGTCATGCATTTATTTTGTGTTCTATTTTCTAGGGATTTATTATTAGGTATGTTATTTCCACTTCACAATATGACATAAATAATGCACGAACGGCAATATATAAATAATAACATAATTACCTCTTTTTGATAAGTATCTACTGCACTGTGTAGCAACTTCCAACGTTGTTTCGGGTAATATCCACAATTATAACAATTGTTTTGATTGGTGCATTTTTGCCGTGGCCCTTCTAATAGCACATCTACTTCTGGAGAGTCTTTGCAAAACGAGAGAATTTGACTGGAGAATGTTGCGAGTTTCATTATCAATTCTTCATATTCGCACTGTTGTCAGAAACCACATAAATATACAACTCGTTATTAATAATTATAATGGAGACTGACATATCTTGTTATTGCTGGTATTATGATGAAATTGTTTACACGTATCTGTTGATCGACTTATTTAGTTGATTACTAGCGAATGGCTGTGTTATGTCTGTCATCGTTTAGACACATTCGAGGTTCTGGACGGAACTTGGTTCAGTGATTTGGAACTAATTACAAGATAACCGTCGCTATTCGGACTACTACTTCTGACAGTTATTAATATAGTGAACGATTAATCAAAAGATATGACGTGTTCAGTACTTAGTATGATTGGCTGTATGATTGAAGGTTACGCCCTAGAGTCTGTATACTGCTTTGTAATTGGTTAAGGTTTTGAAAGTGAATACAGTTGTTTGAGTTGGTCTTGGAGAGTACATGAGGAGAGACGCAGTCTAAGACAGTCTAGAGAGAGTCTTGGGTCAGCCTTTTCCCCAGGGCGCTGTGTCTTATAGAGTGCTCGACTGACCGACTAAGACGAGAGTTGAAAAGTATTTCATTGTGTGTGTCTTATTTGACTGTAAAGTTTAAGTGACTTTCCCGATCCCGTACCTCCAGGGGACGTGATATAGAGACCAGACGAGATTTCCCCCTGGCATGTGTGGAGAACCTCAGAGGAGAAGAATTTCCCCCTGATAGTATCTCAAATATCTGTCGTAGGACAATTGTAAAATAGTTTGCTTTTATCAACAAAAGTATACAATATAAAACTGACCTTGAACGTGCCTTCAAAATCACTCAGAATTCGCATTCTGTCTATCTTCAATCTTAAATCAAAAGCTGTTGCTATGACATCTTTTTTCGTGAGGGAAATATACGCAGGACTGGAAAGAGCCGCATAATGCTTTAGGCGTTGCAAACTGTTACTCACACATCTTTCATCCACTATTATAAAAAAAACAAGATTTTTAAACAACAAAACACTAAAGACTTATAAATCAATAATATTCATAACGAGTAATGATATGAGTAATATAATAATAGTATATGACATGATGTGTCATTCACGTGACATTGTTTAAACTGCGTAACTACGTGACATTATGTGGTGCGATGAAAGACAGAACATGATCACGCAGACAGAAATGTCCTGCTTCAAAGTTAGGGTTAGCCTTGGAATTAATTTGATTTTTGCCAAAATTCAACCCAACCCGAGCCATTCTTGTTGTGAAATACAATTGAATGGGTGGCAGTCATTTCACATAACATGGCATGAGTAACAAAATTATTCAATGATTTTCAACATTTTTGAAAAATATGAAATATGACAGGTATTTACATAGTGTGAAGGTTTGCACTGGTACGGGAAATATTACAGTTTCTCTCATACAAGTATAAATTTGCCAGGATTTAGGAAATATGACAGTTACTCTCATACAGGTATAAGTTTGCCATGATTTAGGAAATATGACAGTTACTCTCATACAGGTATAAGTTTGCCATGATTTAGGAAATATGACAGTTACTCTCATACAGGTATAAGTTTGTCATGATTTAGGAAATATGACAGTTACTCTCATACAGGTATAAGTTTGCCATGATTTAGGAAATATGACAGTTACTCTCATACAGGTATAGGTTTGCCATGATCTAGGAAATATGACAGTTACTCTCATACAGGTATAGGTTTGCCAGGATTCAGGAAATATGACAGTTACTCTCATACGGGTATAGGCTTGCCAGGATTTAGGAAATTTGACAGTTACTCTCATACAGGTATAAGTTTGCCAGGATTTAGGAAATATGACAGTTACTCTCATACAGGTATAGGTTTGCCAGGATTCAGGAAATATGACAGTTACTCTCATACAGGTATAAGTTTGTCATGATTTAGGAAATATGACAGTTACTCTCATACAGGTATAAGTTTGTCATGATTTAGGAAATATGACAGTTACTCTCAT